GGAAAGAAGCAGCTTATGCTTTATTTTATTCAGAAGGCTTCTTAGCGTGTACACTATTTTATCTAAAATGCACGATACCACTTTAGAGGTTTCGTGTAAGCATAATCCTAAATGCTTTGGTAACTGGATATTCCCAAGGAACAGGTTTTGTTAAACCAAACCGATTACTAAAATGTGAATGACACTTTTATTCAGAAAAGAATGGTATAGAATATGGCTAATAATTTCACATGTTTTCACAAGATACAAAAAAACCTCTTTTCAAGTGGATTGGTATTTCTAAGCAAAAATAAACCCACTGATAGCATGGTGTGCAACATTTAAAACCCTGATCAAAATGACTTCAGAATAATTGTGCATTCCCCAAATATATCAGGTTGGCAACTGAGGAAGGAAATGAAATATTAAATGAATAAGTTGGCATAAGAGGGGTAAATTCTCTCTGTACCACAAGTTTCATAATAAAATACTGCCGTACGTTTCATTTTAGACATAAGCATTTTTATAACAGTCTGGTTTGTTTCTAAATGACTGAAAATTTCAGCTAAAAAGGTGTTTACACAATATACACATTTCATTACTTACAAAGAGAAATAAGCTTAAAATTTCATATTAAAAACCTGGGATGCAGTAGGGTTAGTAGCACCATGAAAAATGTTTTTCAAAACTGCAGTCTTGTTACTTTAAACATACTCAGTGCGTCGTGTTTTTCTTTATTCTCTTGGTTGATCAAAAAGGTGCCGTTCTGGTACAGGGAGAGAAATGAAAAAAATTCATCTTCTGATCCTTTGTGAACCTCAAGTGTTCTTCTCTGTTTCCAAGAGGTGAATTCTTTCATCTTAGTCTGGTTGTCAAATATGTACCAAAGAACCCTTAGTTTGGCACATGAGTGAGGTACACTTGAATTTGCATCGTTAAAACAGTTTGGATTTGTTTTCTTCTTTTCTTTCTGCACAGTAGCACCATTGTTGCAGCTGGAAGACAGTGCATCTTAGGAATTTTCAAATGTTTTATAAAACATTCTCCAAGACGTTACGTCTTCTTCATGCAAACTTGACAACGACTAATACGCGTCCTCAAGTCTCCAGCTTTCAGTGTCTCTGACTGAGGTTTACTGGTTGACGGACACAAAGGTAAGGTTAGGTTAGCTTTTCCTTTGTTTACAGAACTTGCCTTTAAACTTCTACTTAACTCACAGTTTAAGATAAGACTTAAGTACAAAAGTGGGGAATTAGTCCTGTATTTGAGAGTTTCCCTTAGGGGTGATCTTTTTGTATGTCTTCAACACCAGGTGACAGAAGCTCAGTTTTGTCCAGTGTCTCAGTATTCACAAGGTACACTAATAAACTGCTTCAGTCTAGCATATGATGTAGCAACAAATACCAAACTGAGTGGAAGGCGAGTTTTGTACATTTGAGACAGTATTTCTGGGGTATTTGTTTGTAGCCTTTGGGTTTCTCAGTTGAAGGGTACTTTAACAACCCATAAAAAATACTGCTACGATGAGATATGTATTTAAGTGATGGCTTTACCAAATTATTTATTTGTATTCTGAAAGGGTAGGGAGGCAGGAGTTTAATATAACGTTTGTATAATATACATGTACACACAGCAAGTCTGATTCTAAAAAATTTTCTTAAAAATAGAATAAAAAAGGAAGTTGTGTTTGTGGGAGACAGAAAATAGCAGAGACAGAAAACTCAAAAGGTGCATGGTAGTCGTTAGTAGGCAGTTGTCACTAGTGAATTACCACTGATCAACTACCCTGAGACTTAGAGTGATGACTATTTAATGCCCATCAAGCATCGTGGTTGTAGGTGTTACACAAAACCAACTTAGGGGCCACTACTGTTATGTAACACAGTGCACGTTGCCAGCCCTGTACCACAAAGCTACATTTTCCAGTTTGGTGGCATTGGGAATATTTATGAGGTTTTTATCAGTACACAAACAGGGCAGTAGCAATTTATTCTATGAAAGGAGACGATTTTTTTTTCAAAGAAAAAATTGGTTTACGACTCAATTTAAAAGGGGAAAAGTTTGAGGAGCTGAGAGACTCCAGCTGAAATGCTGACTGCAGAGAAGTTGAAGACAAAGTCCAATGGCTGCCTTGCTGCCAAAATTTCATCCTAATTCTTCTGGAAAGTACTGGAAAAAAACGCTTGCCACAGAGTGTATGAAACCTCCTTCACACAAGACTTAAAAACAGGTTATATGAACATCTGCCCTAAAAGGTTTAAGTAGAATGTATCTTGTCCTTCATCCCTATCCCTTATATGTCTGTGAACTACCACTGGAAGGCCTGGCAAGAAAAAACCCAAAATCCATCTTTTAGGCTCTGAATACAATAACTACAATAGGACTACTTTCAGAGAAAAGGTACTACTAAATGTGAATAAGAATTGACATAAAAAGAATCTGACTCCTTGCAAAATAGAATGTGCCCTAGCAAGTTTTTACATAATATTAAAGACTTATCAAGGAAACACTTGAAAAACTGGTTGTGAGGGAAAAACTAAATTATTTCCCTATACCCCTGTAAACAAATCTCTTTTGATCTTCAGAATAAATTCTGTTTCCAAAGCTTTCATTCTAGAATAAAGCAATATACAAGAAACAGGTTTTCTTACCTGAACATTTCTGACACCTCTACAGTTGCCAGCCAGAAACTATATGAATTGGCATAGTAATTACAAGTGCCACGACCATGGCATTCAATAAACGGAGCTGAGCGGAATTCTTCTAAACAGGATCCAGGTGATGCCAAGGCCTGTCCGGAGCCCTCTGCTCCAGCGCTAGTGTGCTGGTGTACGGGTGGAGGAAAGAAACACATCAACAAGGATCTTACAGTAGGTGGTAAAAATTAAACAGCACAACATTCAACTAGTAAAAGAGCCACTGTTCATTCTTGGTTGAGATAATGCGGTGTGAGACACCTCCATAAATATCAGTCACACTAGGCTCTGTGTACTGGAACATCATTGTTAATCCTCGCTACAATGGTTGGTAAATGAAGGTAAATCAAGATTTTCAATGACAGCCATTGTAGTTTTTAATGAAGTCCCAGAGTAGCTGGTTGAGGACACAAGGGGGTACTACCCACTTCTGGAGCAGGAGACAGTTCTTACCATCATGAAAGAGTAACCAATCCAAAGGGAGTCCCAGCCTGGAGGACACGAAGGAATCTGAATGGTCTGACTGTGGACAGCTATCACCATAGCAGGAGCTTCACACACAACACATCTGGACACAGGGGAAGTATTAGAAAAACATGTGATATTAATATGTAACAGCAGTATGTTTTATTAAGAATTTTTATACAGAGAAAGGAAGGAAAAATAGCCTGTGAGAGGCTGTCCTATTAATCTACATTTCTAATTTGCACGTATTTAACTGCAATAAGGCAGTATTTTGGAGTGCAAGATCTGCCTGTATTTCCAATAACAACCATTGTGTAAAATACTGAAGCAGTTCCTGAAACAAAAACTGGAAGCTCATATTCCCCAAGCTAATACCTTAATCCTAGAGCTAATGGCTCTCATGTTCTTTTTCCCGTCCACAGCGATCTTGCACCACTGACTACACTGCTTCCTCAGTCAAGGAGAGCTCTTACAGCCTTTCAGCCTCTAATTATCACTGCTGCTCGTAGACAACCCTTTTAAGACAACAAATACTTAAAACAAGCTATTTTCCTAATATTTCCCAGAGCAAAACATGACAGATTCATCTCCTAATATCCAACCTGCACGTTAGAGATACTTAGATAAGATGTGCTGTTTATCCAGATGCTAAAAGAGACCTGATAGCCTGCTTTGTCTCACCGGCTAATGAATGGCTGGATGCTTTGCCCAGTCAGTGGCTCCATGCTCATCGGCATTGGCTCTGGAGTTGACAGCCAGTAGGAATAATCATTCCTTGAGGCAAAATTACAAACATTGTTGATGTTGCAGAACATGAAGGGCATGGTGCTGAAACGTCTAAGACAGCTCCCAGCAGTACCTACAGAATAAGATACATAAAATGTGACAGCAAAGTTTTCACTTCGTTGCTTTTTATAGCAATTCTTTGAGAACAGTAATTGTGTATTTTTCCCCTCCACCTGTGAGTGCACAGCATGTGTTATCAAATTGTCACATGTGGGAAAAACTTATCAGTTTTGGTTTACATTCTTTCATCCTGAATTATAACGTGTACCCTCTGGAGGTAGTAGATCTTAGTATGCAATCCCCATCCTCATCTAAGAAATCTCCAAGACTGTCATATCTTCAGAGAACCAGAGCATTTCAAGAAGCAGCTACAACCTCTTTCCCCTTAGAGACAGAGAATACAGAATATCTCACCCAAATCTTGGCCATGTGCTCTTTCATTTCCTTGAACATATAGAAGAGAGAATCCATCATATATTCTTGATGTTCCTTGTGGACATAGTGGTGTATCCCTGGTCTGGCTGTGCCGAGTTATAAGGAATCCATGAGCAACAGAAGCTGTTCCAGGAGGACCGGGTGGGCCTTGTAAGCCATCGGGACCAGGAGGCCCCTGTATTCCTCGTGAACCTGTTCAGACGAGATAAACACAACACACAGTATTTATTAACACCATTTCATGCTGTTTTAGTCCAAATCAGCTTCCCAATTCCAAAATGTACTAATCTGTCTATGCAGCATTATAAGATAATGTTGAAACGTCTTGCTCAAGATCTCAAAATAAATGGCAGAGCCAGAAACAGAAGCAAGTCTCACTCTAGAGCATGTTATAACACCACCTGTGCCAAAGTCCACCAAAATGAATAGAAAAGCTGCAGGCAGTTTTGGGAGTAGGTTACAAAATATGGCAATAGGCTAGAACAACCTTGAATGAGAGAGCAAGAATGAGTCATGTGACTCAAAGGTACCAGAAAAGGCATTTGTTCTTGAACAGCAAAAACATCAGGAAATACAACTACAAATATTTAGACTATCTTATTCCACAGTCATCACTATTTACATTTTTTCACTGAAATAACATTAACAGATTTCATAGAGCTACTCAGGAAAAAAAAGAAAAAAGGCATTATGGATTTTTGTACTGTTTTAACTGTTTCAATTCCAATATTTTTTTCTTACAAGTTGCAATATATAGCTAATTAATGCATATCATCTTCTTTAGAAAATTGTCCCAATGCCTAGTCCAATTTTCTTGTCTCATCATAATTCAGTAACTCTAAGCAATAGCTGCATGGTAGCCTGATCTCTGCCTTTAGTGAAATTCTTTCCTTTATGAAGTCTGTTTTTCCCCATTCATGATTTCCATGCAAAATTAAAATTATTCTACTAATCTCTCTCTTCTGTTTCTTACTATCTTCATTAGCTTCTGTGCATCATCTGTACTGCAAAGGGGATGCCATTAAGCTTGAGATAAAGCACTCTACAATATTGTTCAGCAATGACTGGCAACGTGTTTGTTCTAAGAATATTCCAAAACAAAGGATGTTCAGCTACTTGTAATATTTTTGCATTAAGAAAATCCTGAAGTTATGATTTTATTATTATTCCCACGAGGCAGAGATCTCTCTTCCCAGTACTAGCCTGCACTCACAAAAGGGAGCACCTCTTTTTCCACTGGATCCTCCCTCATAGGATAAACACCATACCTGGTTGGCCCGGAAGACCTCTCTCTCCTTTACGTCCTGCTGGACCATCAAAACCAGGTAGTCCATCTCGCCCTGGGTCACCAGGAAGACCAATTGGACCTAGAATAGACAAATGCATAAGTGAAGTAAAAGCTCTTGAGATCTCACTACAGAAATCTTAAATTGTCTGGGACCCATCTATTTTTTCTTCATGTTACGTTAGATAAGAACAGACCATTAAATCAGATTTATATGGTAGAACCCTACATTTATCTATTACCTCTTGGTGAATTCAGTAACTTGTCTCTGCAGCCTCTGCCAAGTGACTCGCATGGCAACCTGCAGTCAGCTATACTACTTAGTTCTTTTCTCTGCAGCCACCTAGAATCATACCTGGCAGTCCCTGTGGCCCTGGCAATCCAGGTGGCCCTTTTGACCCAGGCTGTCCTGGAGGACCCGGGGGACCAGGGTCACCTTTGACAACAATACTTCGTCCAATGGTACCTGGTAAACCTGGTGGACCTGAGAGAAAGCAGCTTAGTATTAGATAAACCAAGGTGGAAGACGTCATTAGAAACAGTTTCTGTTATTCCCATTGCAAAGTCAGAAGCCAAGAGGTCTAGCAATGCAAAGAATAAGTGTCTGTATAAGGCATAAAAGTTGTCTTGGAGACACCCTCCACCCCCGAAGGACAGGTCTTGCAGGGGTTAATCCGTGTAAACTGGATAGAGAGTATAAAATACGGTAGGATTACTTGTGCGGCTAAAACGTATAGCCTGGAATAGTGTTTAAGCTATTGCTTACTTAATTACTTTCATTGCTGGCTGAGACCAACTCAGTCCTACATCTGTATAACGAATTCTACTGGCAGGAGGCAAAAGTGACAATAATGCTCCCCAGGACTCCTACCTGGTGGGCCTGGAAGTCCTTGGCTGCCTGTGAGGCCAGGGGGTCCTGCAGGCCCAGTGGGACCCTTCATACCTGAAACATCAAATTCACACAGTTACACAGCGGAAGAACAAGCTGTCTTACAAACTCTGCTGCAGGCATGGCCAAAATCAGGCTGCTTTTCTCCCCGAGGGGCTGTTACTGTGTCTGGACATTTTCACTTGAAACGCTAGTTAAATACCTGGGAATACCCAGTTAAATACCTGGGAATCCTGGAACGCCTGGAACCCCGGGATCGCCCTTCATTCCATTCAGGCCTGGACGACCAGGATCCCCCTGAACAGAACAGTTTCACGTTATTCACTCATCTCCTCAGCAGTTTCAGAAAGAGAGAAAAGGTGGCTGGGGGACAAATAAGCCCACTTTGGGTCTGTGAACTAGTGCTTTGAAGGGTGGAGGCCACGCATTTTGCTCACTGCACTGGATGCTGTCAGAGAACGCTCTAACATGAAGCGTGCATTGACAGCTCCAGCTCTCACGGGAATGTAATGGGGACATCCTGCCCAGATAATAGGGGATAATTAAGGAAAGGACCTTCTTACTTGCTACAAGACAGGGTGTTAGCTACCACATTTTGATTTTTATTTTACTATGATAAACTGCATACTCTACCCAAATAGATTCCATTTTTATTGCACTTTAAAATAAATTAGGGGGAAAACTCCATTTCTTGTAGTACCTGGCGTCCAGGTGGTCCTTGATCTCCCTTTTGGCCAGTCAAGCCAGGTGGGCCAGGTTGACCTGGGTTCCCTTTTTCCCCTTTAAGTCCTCCACTGCCTGGTGGCCCTCGTGGACCTTCTGGGCCTGGTGGACCTTAACATTGCAGAACAAATATGCATATATCAGTACATATGAACCATTCTCCCCAAGTTTGTGCCATCAGTGTTCCAAAAAAAAAAAAAAAAAATAGATATTTTGGCTTGACTTCCTAGCTATATTTCAATACTGAATTCAGGATAACTAAAAAGAAAACAAGTAGAGGGATTATTTGCACTACCCAAATCGGGAACCAAGGCTCCTTACCTAGCAGATGACGAGAAGCAGGTATTTCCAGAAGGCAGTGCAACACACCTCTGTTAGAAGCTTACCAGTGACCAGACCAGTGCCTTTATAGGAGCCAAGAAACCCAAAATTAGATGGTACAAATATCCCCTCTGATGAGCTGCATTACATTCACCATCTCTTAAGTGCTCTCTTAACAGACTGAATTCCTTTTGAAAGCCAGTCTCAAGAATATAAAATATTGCTGCTTTTTTTCTGTTAGAATTTAACATACCTCTTGAGGAGCCCAGTATATACCATCTACTGACTGCTGGGCAGCAGGAAGCCCGTTGTTCTGCCTTGCCTAACTACTAACCTGAGTTGCAGAAACCTCCTTACGTTGAATGATGTTCCCTCCAACTGATTTGTCTATCTTTAGTAGAATTAGGCTGTGTAAATCCAACCGAGGAACTGGGCTGGTCCTTAAATATTTTCCCTTTGCTACAGCCACATTAATCCAAAGCAAAGCAGCGGATGTAAATGAAACTTATGTATTTGGAGAACTGAAAGATGAGACCTCCACCTTTATGACACCATCTAAATAGGTTACCGATATTAATTTATGGCAAAACAAAGTATGCAAATGCAGCAACAGCTAATAACATTTTACAAGTTAGATCTCATAATTGGATTAACAAAAGGATCCCTTTGCAGGACAGTGCTATGACATTCTCCCCTGCAGTACAACAAATCTAATAACATTTATCCGTGTGCTGGATTTTCAGTTCTTCTGCAACCTCAAATAATTAAACATCTCCTTTGACATCCTCGTAGTCTATATTCAGTGGATAAATTTGATGAGCTGTATTTCTGCATGCAAAACTGAGTATAGAATTCCTTCCAAAATTTTTCTTTTTAAAATCAACAGCAATTTTGTACCAGATTTCACACATACCCTGTAGCAGTTTCAGCTACAGAAAACATCCCATCATGCAAGGAATTTTTTGTGTTCATTTTGCTCTTTTATACTGGTCTAGTACTGTACATGTTCAAAATAATAAGAGGTTACCATCTGAGGCATGCTAATCATACATACTGCAGGGTAACCATAGTCCTTAAAAAGATAATCACAGAATTACAGGAAAACATCCGTTTCTCTTACATCAAGTGCAACGCAGTAAAATAAATCGACCGAGTTAAGAGTCTAACCTGGACGACCTGGAAGGATCAGAGTTCACCAAAGCCCAATGATCGATGTTAGAAGGGTCAGACATCACACAGTACAAAACAAGATTACTAGTTAGAAATAGTACAGATGACAGCATATACACTACACAACAACCCATTTCACCAGCATATTTTGTATTTACAATATAATCCACATGCATGCATAAAACCATACATGAATACACAACGATATGTATTTTCAGATACAAGTTATTCTGGTGACTAGGCTCTACTAAGACTAATTTGACACTTCATTTAACAGCAAACTTAAAGCTTTACTAAAGAATATGTTACTGCTTTAACATTACAGCTGAGGCCTGTGACTGGTTAGTCCTACACACAGTGGGGTTTGGACTATATAACCATTTCACTGACAATATTCAACATCACAGGGCCAGGAGCTTGGCAAATATGCAGGCAAATCGTCAATGACAACTTACTCTTGAGCAAAATTCTGCTTCGGGCAGGGTGGAAGCGTGATTAACAGAAGGACTTATCACCACTAATCAGGTATGAGCCTCAACTATCTGTGAATACAATTCTAGGACTGAAAAGTAGGCTTATACCTTCTTCAAAACAGTAAGCAGGATTGACACGGATCAAAAGGGCTGCAAATGCTATAAGCAAAAATACAGCAGAACTTACAAATTTAGAGTTTGTTGCTTTACTGTTGGCATTATTTTTTGTGATAAAAGTACCCTAAGATGCTAATTTACCTGTTTAAGGTTATTAAGGAGAATGGCATGTGACAACATCCTTAGAAAAATCATTTAAATGTCCTCTTCCAAAAGGTAAGCTCGTTGTCCCTACTGTGTTCCTGAATTAATATGTATTTTAGCTCCTGTGACACTTGCATCTTTCATGTCAGTGAAATGATTTCAGTATATCACCATGCAGTTCGCAGCTAAAAACTACATTAAATGCTTGTCAGGTTTACCTCGATGCACTATTTCTTACGTATTTGGAAAATTATTTTAAATACTAACTGTGATACAGTTGTTAAAAATAATGACATGGACATTCCATTGTTACTGTTAAGCACTTATAAATTATATTCCACTGTTAGATAAGTTTTGCTATGATGTATAAATCCCTCCTATACTTGCTGATTATTGAATTCTGGCTGGGCACAGTCACAGGGTGGAACAAAACATGAAGCAATTAAGTTCTTCTCAGCATACCCATGACAGTAGCCCTCTTTCAAAGTGTGGTTACCACTTGTGTAACCGCAGTTTAATTAAAAGGTAAAGTCACATTCCTTTTTTTACATTACTGCATCAAGCTAGGATTCAAACACCAGGGGCTACCGCATTTGCTACCTCACTGTGCTTAGCACAGCACACTAAAACCTGAAGCATATTCCTTTATTGAATTTTGATGGCAGTTCTTTGCTTCCTGAAAGTCATCATAGCAAAACCTAAAGACATCATTATTATTAAATAGATATACCAAGTCATTTGCAACCTAGACACAGATGTTAAAAAATCTTCAAGAGCTGGCTTGTGCTACATGCTGACATGCTAAAATTATGGTAAGCTTGTGAAAATGACCATGTTCTTACCAATACTGTTCCACTGCCCTAGCATTAGGGAGGGGAGGGCTGTATACTTCATTTTCATTAAATACATGTTAAAGAAAGAGCTTTCCTTATTTCCTCTAAATGTGCTGGTGAAGCAAAATACTGGAAATAAGGATTTCTCTGCACTGGAATGTTACAATGCTCTAAGCTGGGAATGTAAATCATCCCTGTCACTTTGTCTAAGTTTTCCTACTGACACTGTTGGTATAAAAGAAGCATTTAATTTAAGTCACTTGAGAGTGTCCAAATTCAACAGTAGCAGGTGTTACAAAAATGAATACTGTCACTTGTCCAAGCTGCAAACACTATTACACAGCAAAGACATGGGAGAACAGCACAATGTGCTGGTTTAAAAAAGATGAAAGCCAGTATATATTGTTTTCAACTGCACTGAGATTAAATATGCTGAAACAAGTCTCACACTCGGGGTCACTTTATAAAAGCCTTGCAAATCTGGACCCACATGATCTTCTACCATAGGGAGAGCAACACTATGCCCTTCCAATCAGTCCTACAACATCATGGAGGAAGAGTCAGAAAACCAACTCTGAGCTTTTCTTTTCTACCATAAATTATAAGGTACATCTGAAAAATGACTCCGCATATCTACACTTAGACACCACAAAAGTATATACATTCAATTTTCATGCAAAGTTATTTTGGAGTTAAGGGGCTAACCTGAGGGACCTGGGAGTAGGGGGTCAGAGTTCACCAAGGTCATCATTAGAACAAGGGGAAAAACATCAAAATTGTTAGAAATATCAACAAGCTAACATATTCAACTAAACCTTTCTTTTTAGATTTAGCTCAATATTCCTTTACATACAGTATACAAAACACCAAACTATTATTACTCATAGCAATTAAAATAGACTTGTGGAATAACAGCAATGTTGTGTTGCCCAGGAAATTGGCTTAATTTTATAATCAATTAATAAATCTGTCCCAACAGCATCTATCAACGTTTGTTTTAGGGGCAACTCAACTGAAGCCAGAGAGCTACATCATCTTTGACTTCATCACTTTTACTAATCTTAGAATATACCCAGAAGTCAAAGAGTATACGCATACAGCTTCTGGTTTTATTTATGTCCCTAGAAAGGGGGTAATTTGACAGCCACACAGCTGCTTTTATGACTAACTGCCTTATGTTGAAATGTTACAAAATCAGCATTCCAACAATAGACTGTGTTATCATTTGAAACAAAAGGCTGGAGTGCTGATTGTACCAGAACTGCAATAACAGTTTGGTTTATCCACATTAGTTCACGCATAACTGAGCAAAACAAATGCTTCACTTTATACATTGCATGCAACAAAAATGGAAATCAGAGAAAGAGAAAGAGAGGGAGAGAGAGAACATGGCTGAGCAGAACCTCACTGGTTGTTTCCCCTCTAACCAATGCTCATAAAACCGCACAAAATCAGTCCCACCATTCCTTTCCCCCCACAGGTGACTCGAGTCAGTAAGCACCTGATTTATACAGAGAAGTGTGAACAGGATGAGAAGCTTCATTAAAAACACTGATGCTACAGCACAGCATAGAATCTCAGTTGGTGGGTTTTATTATACATCAGGAGCAGCTTAGATGGTTTACTTTTTTTTAGTGTTTGGAGACATTCTCTGTATATATATTTTATAAAATGAAAGCCTATACTCATATGGACCAATCAACTTTGTGTACCATAATTTTAATTGCTGTATCACTCCACACACAGAAAAAATATCTTTGGGAGATCTTGATAGGCTTTTATTTGGGCACACTTAAATTACAAAGCCCAAGTCCAGCATCCCACCATCTCTTACCCCTTCACTGCTCCTCCCGCTTGCCCCAGCTGCATTCTAACCACAGTGAGCAGGGCTGGGATTACTTGTCCCATACTCCTACCTACCAGTGAGCAACTAGGCAGAAGAGGACAAGGCCACACAGAAAGCAAATTAGGACTACCAACTTGCTGCAGGGATGCTCCACTGGTTGGTTAGAGCCTCTAGGGCACAGCAGTGAGTAGGTTCCTCCAGGAGAAGGAGGGAGGGCATGCAGTACTCCTTCCACTAACCAAATAGGAACCCAGGAAGACATTGTGACTGACTGTGAATTAATAACTCACTGAGTTTTGCCACACCAGTAACATAAAAAGCAGGTTTAGGATACAACACAATTCAAGTATTTTCACTAGGGCTAAAAGAAAACCTCATTATATTGGCAAACAGCACCCCAGTTTTAAGGTGTTATAAGTTAAAACCAAATGTTGTTCATAACGACTCATTTTTTAAATGCACAGTTAGGATAGATGAGTTCATAGCTTACTCTGCACAAGAGAAAAGCTCATGGTGCCATTGAGAATAATCAATTATTACTCAATTCCAGTTCTAGTAAAAATACTTTGATAAAATTCCATTCTAAAAGCACTTTTCAGTGGGATTGCCTCCTCCTGTACCAGAAGCAAGCATGAGGAAAGAGCGAGTCTTAAAATCTTTCCAAGTGTGCACTGCAAAACTAAACTCTCCCGTGACACCCAAAAATGAACAATATATGTGTAGTAGCTAGTTTACAAATGTACTAACCCAAAACTAACTTTTCCCAAACAAATCTTTAAATCTGAGGTCAGATTTTAAGGGCAGTAAAAAAATTACTTCTCCCTTAATATGCAAAGAAAAAAAACACACTGTAATCAACCAATAGCTTGGTTTGAAAGTCTCCTTTAAGGAGAATATCGAGCACATTAAGTGAGATGAGTCTTATTGCTGGCAAAATACTTCTGGACTCAAGATACAGCAATAAGCTTGAGCCAGACTGAGAGGTTCATTAAAGTTAAATTTTTCAAAAGCAGTATCTAAATGCAAATAAACATTCTATGACATCATATAAATCAAATTCTAATACATGCCAGGGAATTGCTCAGCTATGTTATCTCAGTATAGTTTTTTTTTTTTTTTCATTCCCAGAGTTAGTTGTTGCAGGAACAAAATGCAAACATGGAATGGAAAGATGAACCCAGCATGATGGTGCACTGAGTCCATGGGAACCACATGACACAATGCAGCAATGACTTATGTTACATGACACGAAGATGAAGAGGCAGCTATCCAATTTGATCATGCTGTGATGCTAGCGTGAATTTGATTGTCATGACTCTTAAAATGATGGGGTTTGTTACTTTTGGTTTTTTTGTGTGCGATGACATTTGCTGATCACGTGACAGTACTGCAAAGGTATCAGATGTTCAAAAGTCGGTATCGTGCTTGCTAGATGATTACTGTGACAGCATGCGGATAATCTCCCGTTTATTAACGCATTAGATTTTTGCTGCCAGGTATCAGAAATTAATAGAAACTGACTGTTTTATTTTTAGATGCTGTTACTTTTGGCAACAAAATCCTCTGGTTGCCTGCAAACATTAAGACTTATGCCATAAGGCTTGAACTTATCCTTCCAAATAAATTGAGAAAGTTTCAAAGCTGATAACCTGCCAGCAAAATATGAAAGTACTGGCAGATGTTGACAGGTATGGATCATGCTCTTACCTGGCCTTCCTGGAACACCTGGTGGGCCAGGGATACCTTTAGGACCTTCCAGAGGTGGCCCTGGTAATCCTGGTGGACCCGGTGGACCCTGTAGACCAGGGAATCCCTGGAAACCTGGTTCTCCCTTCAGACCTGGAAGTCCAGGGGGCCCTGGTGGGCCAGGTAACCCCAATTCTCCTTTTTGTCCTGTAAAACCAAACAACCATGTTTATGAATACTGTTACAATTTGATAAGCAAGAGAGTCCAAATGTCAGTTTACAGAGCCATTTCTCGCTCTTGCAGAAGGTGCAAGTCTGGCCACAACTCACCTCATTTGCACAGTGAGACAGTATAAAATTGGTCTAACATTCAGAAAAGTTAGGGCTAATAATTCTTGCAGGAGAAAGTGCTATAGCTTCTAACCCGTTAAAAGGTCTTACTAAGTCTCACTTTACTACTTAGTGATGCTGTAATTCATAAACATCCTCTGAGTTTGTAAGCCTACAAGCAATGCTTTCTGTGAAGAAACATCAATATTAAGACTTCATTATTTTTTTGAGACTGCTGAAAGTTAAGACATACTTGCACATTTTTCAAATAAGCTTGAGGAATTCAGAAGCTTTAATGCTACAGGAAAGTAATGTAATTTAGGTTGTGAAGCTGCTTCTGAAAATACAGCAAGCAGCTATATTCTCAAAGCAGCTTCATTTGTCATCTGTTGTATGAATGCTTTATTTACTGAGACAAATCAGCAAAGTTCCACACAATGCGGTAGACTATTATCCTGTGTGGATTTATTCTGTCTGCATAATTGCTAATTTACAAAATTCAGTAGTCAGTAATGAATGTCTTTATTACCACGGTTAATTGAAAACAGTCTGCTGAGAAAAAAATATGTTATTTTAGTTGTTGCTATGGCATTCATTTGTTGTATAACATAAAATATGCCTTTTTTTTTGGTGTATATTTAAATGGTTGAATGTAAAAAATAGCTAAAGAACAACAGAGAAACTTTACCTGACAGTCCTGGGAGTCCTGGAGGTCCTGGGCGCCCAAAACCTGGTAGACCTGAAAAGAAACAGATTCAGTTAATAATAAACTTTCAGCTTTCAGTTCTCCAGGAACAGGAATATGAGGCTGAGGATGATGAACGTGCAGTTTGTCTAAATCTCCAATTCCTTGAGTCTACCAGGATTCTCATCCACTCGCCAGTCTACACCAAAGGTAGAGGTTGTGCTACAGAACGTATCTGTAACTTTCATAAGTATTTCCATCCGTTCACAAGATGCTCTTTCATATTTTGGGAGTTGAAACATTTGCATTTTTGGTTGAGGTTCTATCTTTAAGGCAGACATTACACTGTTTATCCATTCTGTAACTGAGTTGAAGCAATACAGCTACCATAGTATACAGAAACAGGGGCTGGTGTAAGAAAAAAAAAAAAATCTAAGAGCTGATTGAATTCTTGTCCTGTGCTTCATTGGCAGCTCAACAGCACCCTTTGTGAACTGTTCAGCAGCTGGGAACCACAGGAGCAGCTTTGAAGGTATATGGGCAGTTATAGGAAACACAGAATAGAGAAAGCAGGACACCATGGTGCAGAGGAGAAAACAAACAGGAAGGATACCTAACCTGGTTCGCCCTTCTGACCAGCTGGTCCAGGGATACCGTCTCGACCAGGCTGTCCCTTCTCCCCTGAAGGACCAGGAGGGCCAGGGCGGCCAATATCACCTACAAGGGGGACAGAACACATTAGCACAGTAATGCCTAACCTGCAATAAAGAAAACCACCAAACCAACCTCGCCCCTCTCCCCACCATTTGAATCCAAAGGTGTGACAATGTAATAACAAATTCACGAGGATGTAATCTTAAAACTAAAATCTTTCTCTCCCCTGACAATTTAGAGAAGGCTTTCAGGCCTGTGACCTTTTACACAGTTAGTGTTTGCTAAAAACAATATAATGCTTCCCTTTAGGATAAATTAGAATTTTGCTCTAATAAAAACAGGTTACATCACTGGAGTACTTAACTAATAAACCTGGTAAATACTGAAAAAGTTAACTTCTTGTTTCGATACCTAATGATATGACTGACAGCAGACACAAGTCATCAAGAGAAAGTTAAAACTTTTCTGTTTAATTTTAGTGAACTAAGTGTGTGCAATAGAGTTTGAGCATCCATATAGGTACATTTTCATGATAAAAAGATAAGAAGAAAGGAAGCGGCTTCATGTGTTGTGTTCTTCACAGAAGCAGCTGACCTTTGCTGCACTGTTCATGCTCACCTACTGGCCCAGGTGGTCCAGGCAGGCCAGGATTACCTGGAGGCCCCTCGATACCTTTTGGTCCTGGAATTCCTGGCGTTCCTGTAAAGTATGGACATTTCAATCAAATTAGGCACAAAACTGGCTTATCAGATCTTGCAATGCCATAATCTGAGATGCCCCGAGTAACAAATGAGCTAGTTGTATCAAGATACTGTATTTATGCTCATTTTTTCAGATTTACAGCTGATCAAGAAGATTAATTACAAAACAAAGAGCATACAGAAGCAAAAACATACTAGCGCAACTATCCTTACTGCTACTCTCAAGACTGTCTTCTTAATTGTTAAGTGCCCACGGCCAAGGACACAGTGAGTCTGGCAGTCTGCTAGGAAATCACCATTTTAGAGATGGGTGTTTCTGCTTGACAACAAATCGAAAGCATTATGAATTGTGGTTGAATAGTCCTTCACTAATCCTCTTTTCCTTTCCTGAAAAGGCATCTTAATAAAACCAGTCTTAATTAGAATTTACACCATATTCTCACCCCCTACAGCATGAACTGAGTGGGAGGTAGGAAAAACAATCACAGCATGTCTGTTCTGAACAGTATCTGAGCTCGATGAAGACAGTGTCTCAACACACCGTTTTGACTGTTCGCAGCCTTTCAGGCACGGCACGAAGCAGAGGTTAAAAACTGTCAAGTTCATGGCCAGGTTTTGTTATCTTCTAAGCTTCCTGCTGCCATGACTACACTGTTATAAATTCCCTAACTTCCTACATTAAAGCAGCTCGGGCATGCTTGTAGAACAGTCTACCTATACTGCATTTGCAGCAGTAAAAACACCTTGCTTCTTTAAATTGAGAATAAAAGAACTGACATATACCCATAATCAATCTCTAATATTTTTTAGAGAAGAACGCAAAGCTTCATTTCATTACATTTCAGAAAGACATTTCTCTTTAGAATATATTTTTAGACAATAAATGCTATTTTAAAAGCCCAGTTTTCCTGATGACATTTTATTGATTCAGGAAGGAAAAATACGGAGCCAAAACATAGATATTTTGTGGGTCAGAGGAGGTGAGAGTGACTGCTGTGGGGAGTGGAGAGCATTAGCTAACACAGCCGCTACATCCCCTCAGAGCAGATGAATAATTTCCAAAGGCACTCTTCAGCAGTGCATTCACATACTTACTCTTGCAGTGACAATTCCAACAGCCCAAAGCTTAGAAGCAGCAGATTGCTAGAAACGTTGAAGGAAGCTGCAGCCCCATTACCCACTGTGTTTAGATGTACGTACCAACATAAGCAAGAGGGAAAATAAAAAAAAAATCCTGTTCAGAATTACCTGGGAATCCAGGAAGGCCTGGTTCTCCTTTTGCACCTGGACTGCCTGGAAATCCAGGCAAACCAGGATTTCCAGCTATACCTTTACTGCCTGGACTACCTGGGTATCCAGGCAAACCAAGATCACCCTAGAAAACATTAGGCAGAAATAAGAATCCAGTCTTTGTAATATAGGTAAAGCTCTTCTTGTACGTTCCCAGTCTTACCATCACAAAAAGGTCACCATTATATTGTGTACACTTCTCCTTATCTCCAGTTAATATTAACCACTCGCACAGAAAACTAATTGGAAATAGTAATTGTAAAGATTTTAACTGTTTCCTCTACAATTTTGTATAGAGAATCATAGCTTTTCCTCAGAATTGGCCTACCTTAAAGAAAAAAGTGTCTTTCAGGAGAGACAGAGATTTTTACCCCATGATAATGCTGAAGAAAAAAGAAATCTGTGGAGCTTTAACCATGCAATGTTTTGCTAAATTAATTGCTGCACAACATCGATTTTAAGGCATCAGTTGAGGCTGCTAGATATTCTGTAGGTCTTTTTTGTCATGTTTTTGTGGGTGACAGAAAGGATGATATAGGTAAATGTTAGTGCACGTTTTAAACAGACTTTAAAATTTTAAGCAGCAGTAATCATGATATATCAGCTCCTCCATAATTTATTCTCAAACGGACATTGCCCTAATTTTTTTAGAATTAACTACATAATTAGACATGGGAATAATGATGCTAACTGTATAAATCCCTACCTACTACCAAAATGTCAGTGGGTGTCACAGTGCAGGCTAGGCCACTAACTGAGCCCAACTTAAAAGGTCTGGTAAACAATCTTCTCCTTTAACCAGATTAAGTTATATATATTTTCACCTTTAAAATTAGAAATTGTTGCTCTCACCTGAAAACAGCAAACCACAGTCAACCCTGCTTGTTTTATATATATTTATATACATATTTACAGTTATACATAATATATATTAAGCTATAGTTAAAAAAAAAAATCAACACAGAATCCATTTTCCCCATGGAATTTTCTGTTGAAGAATTTTGTAATTGTACCTTTGGTCCAGGAAGACCAGGAATACCAATGCTTGGAAGACCAGGGTCACCTTTCTCCCCTTTCAATCCAGGAAATCCTGCAGGCCCAGGCTGTCCTGGACGTCCTGCTATTCCTTGGCTGCCTTTAATCCCTGGGGGACCTGTCCAAAAGGTAAAATACCAGTTTCATAAAGTTAAATAAACAACTTCTGCAGTGGTTTACCGAAATCACTCAAATTACAGCAACTGAACAATGAAGGATTAACAAACTGACCGGCTAGCTTTGAATACCTAAGTGGTTTTGATGACATTTCTAAACTTTTTTTATTCTTAATTTACACAAATCCAAATATCTCATTGTAGCATCTAAGCACAATTTAATATTAGAATCCTCAGATACTGGAATTTTTGTTTCAGCAATCTTTCTAAATAACAGAATTCACTTTCTCCTTCCCCTTCTGCTTGTGTCTGATGTCTAACAGGTGGGTTAACAGAATCATCTTTTTTCTGAAATTTCACAGAGCAGAAGCTGAGAAACCAGAAAAGTATGAAAGTTAAAGTGCAGATCATTCTGCTTCTACATCCATAAGCACTTTAAAATAATATGTATTAATAATGTATTTTCTGTTTTAATGGGTATTTCCAATTTCTTGTATACTATTTCAATAAACATGTATGTAGGGCTTTTTCTTCACCTGCACTGCCATTTAAATAGATTATTAGATACTGCACACAAGCAAATCCACCTTTGTACTATATAAAAGGAAAACACTGGCCAAAATGAAGGAAAATACAAGCACAGAAACTAACCTGGAAGGCCCATCTCTCCCATGGCACCTTTTAACCCTGGAGGTCCTGTTGGTCCTGGCTGCCCAGGAAGCCCCGTGTCTCCCTTGATGCCTAGGGAAGTTGTGGTTTTAGTTAATTAACGGCAATAAAAAAAGTTTCTGATATTCATGTGTTCGCATATGAATATACTTGTCATTTAATTACAAAGGCAATGGATTTGGAGCTGCTTTAGGCCTCATATGGCTCCTACATACTTTTTCACACCCATTTGTAGTGAAATGTTAAACACCATTTTGTTCTGAGCCAAGATTTGATCAGGGCAACTTCTTCGTTTTGAAGATTAGTGTAATGAAATGGGTCAAATCTCAGTCCATGATTTAGTAACCATCTGAAACAATTTAGTACTGGTTGACTTGGTCTCATTAGTTGTTCTGCAGAATGAACACATTACCTTTTTCTCATCCGCAATAAGTATTCAGTAGCTTCTATTATGGAATTAAATGTGACCTACAATGCTCAAACTAGTTTGAGTCCTAAATGATTAAAAAAATTCCCCAAGCCCAACAACATATTTAGAGCAAGACCTACATTAGACATAGCGAGTGAAGATTCAAGATTTCAGATAAATTGTTACAGCTGTAGGAAGAAGCAGTGCAAAACAGAATTCATTTTCTTGATCCTTGCAATTCAAGCAAAAGCAGAGATGTGACATCCAGCCAGCCTTTGCAATGCACCCCTTTGGCCATTTGCAAAGTGTGAGTGTAATGACTAACAATGTAAGAAATAACCATATGAAACAGACCATTCCTGTTGGCAGATCCGGCAGTCATGTTGCTTGCTCAAGCAGCAAGCACTTTTCCCACCATCCTAAAAGCTACACTAATCTTCAATGGGATCACCTTAAAACTGTGGGCCAATTCAAAGTAAAGAGCTCAACGCACACTGTTTGGATAGTGATTTTAAAATGTCCCAAAACCATGCTGCAGCACTAGTAAATCCCTAGGCTTTGCTTAGATATACCTGGATTAACAACCCAATCCCATGCGATAAACACACGTGCAAATTTTTGTACCTCAAAACTGTCCATCTGAGGCCTTGTTTACTTACCTGGCAATCCTGGCACACCCGGTGGGCCACTAAGTCCTGGGGGGCCTGGGTCACCTGGGAGACCTTGATAACCTTTCTGTCCTGACAAACCAGGAATACCTCAAGGGAAAAGAGATACATGTTATTAGTATTACTATTACTACTACTGCATGTTTTCTTTTACCTTAAGAGATCAGATATAACTACAAATGAAGAAAAATCCAAATGGGGATTTTTCTTCAATAAATATAATTCCCCCTAGTTTCGAAGTATCACAGAACACAATGCATTGCTTCTGGAAAGTTTAAAATTAGTACAGAACAGGAACAATATAAGTAAATAGAGGAAAAAGTAACTTTATGACTAATGCCAATATACTTCATTCAGAAGGGACTGTCTTTTCAGATAAGCAGACTCCAGGCTAACCTCTCTATATTCATCCAGATTATTTACATACGTGCTTAATTACGTTGCTACACCAGAAGCACTTGGACTGATATATTACAAGAAGTAATGCAGGTATTTCAGCAGATTGTTACAAATTCTGTGTAGTCCTATACAATAACTTTGTGCTGCCCTGCAGGCATCAAATCTGCCTGGTGGGGTGGGTGTGGGGTGTGCTGGTGGGAAGAGGTGAGCGTCTCAGAATCCTACCTAGGCTTCACAGAAATTAATACAATAGATAAATTAGCACAACAACGTCTGGGCCAACATTAGAGGAAGGCATTCTGGTTCCCTCTAGGCTAGAGTATTTTTGCTCTACTCAAGACTAATTTAGACTTTAAAGGAGACATCAGAACCCCTGGGGGGAGAAGGGGGAGCCAGCAAGTGAGTCAGAAAAGACTTGAGCGAACTGAGAAAACCTTCCAGGCTGCCAGCTTTCCAAGTAGAAACACACACAGAGATGACACTTAGCTCAGGGGAAGGTAAGCTTACAGAGATACCCAAAGGGAGAATCTGGAGGTGATGCACGAGCAGATGACCATCCTACAAGGCAAAGGCCC